AATATCTGCACCATTATAATCTAAATGTTTTGCCAAGAAAAGTTTGATCTTGCAACCTATGGGGATTATGCAAACCAATCAACTTTTCATCTTTTCATCAGCCTTATTTGTCATTGTGATTGGGTTTATTTTAGGATGTTTTAATTGTTAAATGGGTTTAATACTTTTTTAATGGGTGGGTGGGTTTTGCAGTTTTGGGGTTGTATTAATACATTGTATGGAATTTTAGCCCCGATTGCTCGTCAGAGGGGTGGAATACAAATTATTATTATTATTATTATTATTATTATTATTATATCCATTAATTGGCTTGATATATTTCACTGCTGTTACTCATAGGGAGAGAACTGAAACCGCATCCTTGTGTCACTACTGAATGTCCCTTTAGCTTCAGAAATCACACCATGTATTGTCAAGCTTTCAGGGGTGGGGGAAGCCAAAGTTTTGGAGCTGCTAAATTTCTGCTGCCAAAACTGAATTATGTCCGTTTCCTGGCACTAAGTCATAGTTATGTCATAACTGGCTTGAATCCTGTGGAACTACTTAGGTCTCACCATCAAAGGGCAACAGGAATGGGCAACACGTGGCCTTCTAGATGTTGTCATTCCATCTCCCAACTCCCATCAGCCACAACCAGCACAGCCAACCCTGGACAGTCACATATTCTCCATCCCGGCTGTACATTTATGGAGCATTTGGCATACATTTGTTTTATATTTCAGAATGCCAACATGCACTTCATTAGAATCCCTTGGATTGAAGCTGAACTTATCATTTCCATCCTTTTAGACATTTAATACTGATGGCAGTATGAGATCTATATTGCTCCCACACCTTAAAGTATACTACATGGATTAGTTATAAATCTTTTTCCTTTATAGCTGACTGTGTTAACGTTCATGTTTTTATTACTACACAAACAAAAGCTATTTGAATTTCTTGCCTTCAAAGTACACTCTCTTTGCTCAATGTGATGCTCTAAGTTTTACTCACCAGCAGCACCTTCCTGGAGAAAGTAACTGACCTGCTATGAAATCTGATGACTAAAAACCTAACTTGGATTTAAGATTTGGTCAGGGGACATAAATTGATATTCCTGTCTAAGGCTGAGCTGAGTCACAATATCTGAATGGCAAGACTCACTAGAATGTTACAACTGAGAAGTAGGCAATCCTGCTATGAAATATTTTATATCTGATGGAGCTGTAATATAATGGTCAATAAGCTGATTGCTCTGCCTGCTGACTCAAGGAGTGACTCAGCAACATCCTCAGTACTGCTGAAAAGGCTGCTCTTAGCACTTCATTCAATTTCACAAACATTGTTAAAGGTCAAGATTTCAGTTCCAAAAAGACCCTGCAAGAAACATCCTTCCCCAGAAAACCATTATCTTATAGCATTTTCTGCAGTACAGTTTTAAAGCCCAATGCTTCATACTAGAATTTTTAGGTCCAAGCATTCCCTACCCTTTCCCTTCACCCATTAACATATTGGTTCTATTTATACAAAGTATAAATGAATGTCATGTTTAGACATGGGTTCCATCTCCAAGATATCTCATTATATATGCAAATATTTCAAAATTAAAAAAAATTGAGATCCAAAACACTTCTGGCCCCATGCATTTCAGGTAAAGGAGACTCAACCTATATTCCTGATTTATTTATTTTTCTTTTATATGTAAGCAGCCTTGTAAAAATATATACCTTGAAAGTCTGGGTACAAATCTGTTAAATAAAATAAACAATAATTGATCCAGAAAGGTCACAATCTGAAGTTAGGACCCAAATTGGTAAACTGCCATAGATTGTGTGTGCTCAGACCTCAAGAGTCCTTAGAAAACACAGAAAAGAATAGGAATGTTCAGCAGTGGCCCCTGAAATTGGTAGAAAGCGTGCAGCCTTGGAGGTGGTCCAAGCTTATCTCAAATAAAGATCTTGGAAAAGTTTTTTGGACTCCTAGATTCTAGATATTATGTTCCAAAAAGCAACTCTTCTAAGGACTATTCAAATATTATGAACCTGATGATCTGCCCTAACTTGGTAGAGTGAGCATATTTTCTGCAGCTACATAACAAGACTGTTCCCCAGTCCCATTTGAAGGTACATTTTGTTTCCTCCATAAATGTAGCATTCCTGGCATCCTCAGATGAAGTTACTGAGAGATTCTGGAGATGCGCTATTACTTGCACCAGATGAAGCAAGAGTGTCAAGGTGATCTTCACCTGTGGAGACTGCACTACAGCTGTGTATTTTCTGTGATTTCTAAAAACACTGAAGGAAACACAGGAGAATGACTGAGTGATGATACCAACAGCTCCATTTGCTGCCAGTCTGTTTCCGGGCACAATTCAAAGTACTAGTGTTGACCTATAAAACCCTATATGGCTTGGGTCCAGATTATTTGAAGGACCT